CAAAATTTATATTTCTACAGCTGACCTCTTTCCTGAGCTTTGGACCCACCTGTATGAACTTGGGTAAATCATTTAACCTCTTAAAAGATGAGTTTTCTCATTGGTAGAATGAGAAAACCTATACGATTGCCAAGTTCTCTTTCATCTATAAATCTCACTATTTCTTGTCTGATAGACATTTGCTATTGATTACCTACAAGCACCTCAGATTTAACATGTCTAAAGCCAAATTTATTATCTTTTTTCCCAAATCTGTTCTTCCAAGTGACTTCACTATTTTTATCTGTGACCACACCATTTACCTAGTCTCCCAAGTTTGAAATGGTGGTAGGATTTCTAACTTTTCCCTCTCTTTCACCTTTCATTTCCAGTCAGTTACTCAGTTGATTCTACTTCTTAATATTGCTTAAATCTATTCCCTCTTATCGATTTCTACCATTGATGGACATCTAAAATTCATTCCCTGTAACCATTCAGTAAGCCAAACAGCACCTTTCTGGGATAATTGAATTGGAGATAAGGTGATTAATTACCTGAGCTCCTGAAGTCCTTGTTAGTTCTTAAATTCGCTGATTAGTTAAGTAGAGGTAGCTTCCATAGTTTCCAGTGCCTAGCACTGTGCCTTGCACTACTGGGGCTTAATACAATATCAGTTAAATTTTTGTTGAATAACAGTCACCACTAGAAAGGATGAGGCAGGCAGTTGATATTAGTAGTACAGTTCGATTGAAGGGGGAAGTGAAAGAACTTAGTTGGTAATATAGATGGAATCTCTGCACTGATCCCTTCTCTCTAGCTTGCTCTTCCCTCCACATACTTTCCACTGCCTGGAAAATAAACATCAATTGGTGATGTCATTATGATATCCACGAGTATCGGTTGGCAGCTATCCCAGATGCAGAATGGATGTGGAATCCATGGCAGCAGGATTTAGACTATAGCTCCATTTGGCTTCTACAGATAATGGAGTTGGCTTGCACTGTGGTCACCTTTGCAAGCCTCATGGCTTGGCGAAAGGAACTTTGAAGTTCTTTGGGATAGGACTGAGCGGGGACAAGCAGCTTTGATACTTTTGAGTTTGGATGGCAGCCATGGAAAGCCTTCGACCTTCTTTTGTTAGACTCTGAAAAGGGTAGGGCATTAATTAATTGTTTTTAAGTTTATGAAACCACACTAAGGTATTGTCTGTACCCAATTCAGACAAACTTGTGCCTGGTGTCTGATTAGATATTACATAGACTATCCTGACAGTGGTGTTAGCAATGAGAAGTTAATGATTCTCATGAGACTGAAATCTCTGAATAATACAGAGTGAAAGGGAAATAGGCCACACAATGTGAGTTTAGAATTTTTGAAGAAATCAGTCATACAGCATAAAAGATAATTATTGCCTTAATATTGCTGACATCTGTTAAAAATAAGTTGAACTAGTAGGGATAGCAAGTTATAACAACTTACATTTGTACAGCACTTTCCTCACAACAAGGCTGTAAGATAGGTAGTGAAAGCATTATTATCTCGACTTTACAAGTAAGGAAACTGAGGTTTACAAAGGTTAGGTAACTTGGTGAAGGCCATTGGATTAAGTGTAAGAGTAAGGAGTCCAACCAAGGACTCCAAGTCTCTACTATACACTGTCAAGGTAGTCTTCCTTTCTCCTCTTCATCTTTGGGGAAAAACTTGGGGATAACAATTACACATCATTAAATTTCATTTTTAAAATTTATATATTGTTGTAGTCATTGTCTTTTCTATTGTTTTCCTGGTTCTGCTCACTTCACTTTGTATCATATCATATACATATTCCTCTGAATCCTTCATATTCCTTGCTTCTTAATGACACATGATATCACACATGTACCACAATTAAATTGGCTTCCTCTAATTGTTGGACATCTACTTTAATTCCAGTTCTTTGCTACTACAAAAAGTGTTTATTGCTCCTTTCTTAGTATGCTATCTCAATGAAGTAACAGTTTCATTTGATTAATTAACAAATGTAATCACATTGGAGGAGGCCTGTGATTTATGATTTTGAGTGAATGTGGACCTACAGATTACTTTGAATCTGAAGTAGACTTTTCTGAGGGATCCATAGGTGAGTTGGAGGGGATGTCCTTCCAGGTGATACAATGGCATGAGTTATCTGAATAGTATAAAAGATTCTGACTCTTTTTTTCCTTCTAAACCCTGTATTATGTTTTCTAAATTTTTAAAAAATCATTATTACCTCCATCTTTTGTTGAAGTCAATTAATGTTGAGGTAAATACTGACTTAGATTGGTGTGGAAACTTCCTCCACTAGTATCTATCAGCAACTTACCTGTAACTTAGCACTTTAGAGAAATGGTTGAGGCACTGAGAGGTTGAGTGACTTGCCCATGGTCACATAGCTAGAAGATATCAGAAACAAGACATAATTGAACTCAGGTCTTCTTGATTTGAAGGTGAGCTTTCTATCTAGTATGCAAAGCTACAGCTGTTACAATTTTTATAAATTACAGAAAGTGAGGCTAGGAGTGATTAAATGCCTTGTCTAGTGTGTTATGAGAAACAAGTGGAGAATGCTTAATTTAACAATTCAAGAAACATTTATGTAACCCTTTACCTTTCATACAAGGAGAATTGTGTTAGCTCCTTGGAGAAATATAAATGGGAGCCCTGTTCTGAAGGAATTTATAGTACAGAGTTGGAGATAAGATGCACAAATAACTATCACACAAAATAAGACTTAAGTACAAGAAGGGAGGTAAGAAAGTACTAGTCTAGTAGAGGAATTTGAAATATGCAAGTTGACAGCATATAAAATAACACATGAAAGTGATGCAATATACTAAAGCCTGAATATGAAAAGATGGGTAAAGATATTTTGGGATGTCACCCTTAAAGGACGGCAAGGAATTAAAATATTGGGGAGGGGAATGAGAAAGGAGAACATTTTAGGTGTGTCAGCAAAGGTAAAATCAGGAAGAGTGCCAGTGCTTTACTAGGACAGTGGGCAGTTGGGTTGGGGAATATAGTACTTGAGATAAAGAACTGAAATGGACCTCAGAGGTCATGTAATCTATAATCTCCTCATTGTGAAGAGAAGTAAACTAAGACCTAGAGAGGTCACATCGTTAGTAACAGGGCTTTGCTTGTAACCAAGGCATTCTGATTCCATATCTAGTCCTTTCCACTATATTATGTTGCCCCCAGTTGTAGGGGCTCTTGAGTGCTCAATTTGGTAGGCAACAGGGAGCCACAGCTCCCTAATGGATAGCTCCGTGGTACAGTGCTGGGCCTGGAATCTGGAAGACCTAAGTTCAAATCAAACCTCAGATACTTTCCAGCTGTGCGACCCCAGGCAAGTCCCTGCTTGCCTCAGTTTCTTCACCTGTAAAATGAGCTGGAAAGGAAACAGCAAACCACGTGTAAGTAAGGTGAATTTTAGTGTGTGTAAAGTGGATTTTCTGTTATTCTTTCTTAGAGTTTTCTTCCTAGGATCCATAGCCCTAACAATCTCTACTTCCCAGGTGTTAGATATGAGTTCTCACAATCGTAGTTCAAAAGTTTCTACCTGCTTGCGCAGTAGATATAGGGATGAAGTGATATAAAACTGTGAGGCTATTGCTGGCAATATGCCTTCTTTGTCTGTTGCCTATAAAGCAAATGGTCACTGGTCAGTGACTGGGGACCCTCATAGGGGTGGACGTGTGGGCTGAATGCTGTGCGTGCTTTGATCGGCCCCCATCAAGGCTTGGCAGGGGGAATCTGTGTGTTTGCCTCAACTGGCCCCCATTGAGGCTTGAGGAGCTTTAGGGGAGAGCCCAAGTTGTGCTGGTATTGATTGACCCCATCAAGATGAGGGGTAGTTGCCCCCCTTCATGCTGGCCCCTACAAGAAAGGCTGTTAAGGAATGCTGTAGGAGTTGGTGCTCCCATTATCAGCAAACTCTCTTTGAGAAGACTAGACTAGAATAAAGTAAGATTATTTAACCCCTTATTATGACTCCATTCCTATCTTGTCTGATTGGATCAAAAGCAAACCTGCTAGTGAGAGAGGCGCTAGAAGCCTTCCTGTGTCTCCTACCTAAGAAATGGCATAGTCGTTGTGTTTACTTGTTCAACACCACGCCAGTATCTTTGCCAAGATACTGGCCAACCTTTTCAGGCTTGTTGGAAATGACTCCCTTGCACGGCTGTTATAGAACAGTTATATTGTACAAGCCAAGCTCTTACACTCAGTGCTTTGGCGCTGGCGGTCTCCCACTGCCGGTCTCCCACTGCCTTCCTCCCACTCCTCCTTCCCCCTCCTGTCTTCTCTCCCTCCCCCTTCTCTCTCTCCTCTTTCTCCGTCCTCTTTCCTCCCTCCCCCTTCTCTTTCCTCCCTCCCCCTTCTCCCCCTCCTCTTTCCTCTCTCCCTCCTCTTTCTCTCCCTCCCTCCTCTGTCCTTCTCCTCCCCGCTCCCTCCCTCTCCCCCCAGAACCCCTCGTTTCCTCCAGTTTTCTGCTGTTGCTGCCTTCTACAGGAGGCTCCTTATTCCTGCCTCCCCCACACTCCAAGATGCCAGTGTCTCCCCCCACCCCATACCCTCTCTCATCCCACCACCCCTCACCCAGGTAAAAAAAAGACCATATACTTGTATGTGCCCAGGTTAGCTCACCTAATAAAACTGAAGCACTTGGAGGGAAGGGGCTGTTTCATTTTTTCCAGGCGCTTCTGGGGGCGTACCGATCTGGTCCAGTTGGGTCTCATTTTACAGGTGAGGACAATGAACCTCAGAAAGGTTAAGTGATAATTTAAGGGGAGACAGGTTAGAAATTAACGGTGGGGATTCGAACCCGCGGCCCTGGGGGTTTTTCGCGCCTCCCCCGCCCCGCGCCGAGCCGCTAGTCCCGCCTCTCCCAGGAGACCCAGCGCTCGCCTCGCCCGCCCCGACGCCTCTTCCCAGGCCCCCAGACCTCACTGGGACCTCACTGCGCAGGCGTAGGTGCAGGCGCGCTCGGTTTGAAAAAAATAATGGCGACGGCGTCTAAGTTAGTGCTGTCTGAGGAGAAGATCTGGGAGAAGAGCGGCTTCGGCCATCGCGATATGGGTAACCTGGGCAACCACTGGCTCCAGACGGCCTCGGCCCGGGAAACCTTCTTGTCGTTTCCATCCATGGCTAGCGGCTCCGGGGAGTGGGAGTCCGCGCTCCGTGAGCCCCTCGGGTTAAAACGGCCCCCGGCCGGGGAGAGCCCCGAGGGGGCTGCTGCTGCTGGGCAACGCGCACACACACACACACACACACACAGTTAGCAGGCCCTCTGCCACATGCGTGTAGTGCACACAGGCACACACACACGCACATACCTACACACACCCACACCTATTAACTGCTACCCATGGTTAGTTGCCCTCTCCCCTCCCTCACTTAGATATACCCTACCCAATGCAGCCTGGTGTTTACATAAACGTATGCACTCAGCAACACATTGTTTGCCCCAGCAATGCAAACCAGACGGTTGTGACTTGTAGAAGCTGGCTGTAACTGAATTGAGACTAGTTGTGATTTTACTTATTACAGGGTTGAAAAGGGGGGGGTAAGTACGTTTGCATCAATTGTAGTTTCTCTCAGCTTCTTCTTAAGCCTAAACATTGACCTGAGTTAGTAAGGTTAGACTAAGGACTTGGTTTTTCAAAAAAGGCACCACCTATAGTTGTATTTTATAAGTCACTTTGAACATAGAAAAATATGTTGATTTTTTTATGAAATAGTTTTTAAAAGGTCTTAATCCAATTTGGATTTTTAAATGTGAAAGTTTAATTTTTCTTCTGGGCAAAATGTTTTTTGTTAAAGGGAATGAGCCATAAATATCCATTCAGACTTATATGCTATAGTGAAGTTTTGCTATGGAAGCCAATCCTCTATCAGGAACAGTAGAAGTAAGAGAGGATCCAGCCTTGTTTCTACAAGTGTAGCTAGTTTGGAAATTGAAACTAGGCATCCCTTTAATGCTCACTAGAACCTTCTTGATTAGCAAAGCACTGATACCCATTTAGTGGAGTGATTTTCATTAATCTAGAATCATAAGAGGATAGATTTAGAGCTGGAAGATACCTCAGAATTCATTATGTGGCCACTGGCTTCTCCATAATGAATTGCCCTTCCTAGAAAAAAAGAAAATAACCTGTGGAGGTTTATAGTGGCCACTGAGTGAAGCATCCTCTTTTTAGAGATAAGCAAATGTTAGGAGCTACAACAGGTAATTGTATGATCAGCAGGCATTTATGAAACACGTACTGTGTGCTAGGCACTGTACTAGTTGCTGAAGACAAGCTTCTGAGGTGAAATTTGAATCCACATATTCTTGATTCCTAAGCCTAATGTCCAAAGTAGATTGGTTTCTCAGTCTTTGGGACTCCTTGAGTGGCCAGATTGAAAGAGGAGTCATTAATGGATTGTTGTCATCTTGGAAGGAGGTCTTCAATGGAGTGTTCTTGTGCCATTTAACATTTTTATCATTGACTTGGATAAAGGCAGAGGAGGAGTATCTAGATGGTGAGGTGTATAGAGCACTGGACCTGGAGTCAGGAAGACCGGAGTTCAAATCTGGCCTCAGACACTAGCTGTGTGACAGTGCAGAAGTTACTTAACCCTGTTTGCCTCAGTTTCCTCATCTGTAAAATGAGCTGGAGAAGGAAATGGCAAACTGCTTCAGTATCTTGATACTCCAGTATCTTGACCAAGAAAACCCCAAATAGGGTCACAAAGAGGCAGAAACTACTAAAAAAACAACTGAATAACAAGAAAGCCATAGGTGGAATGCTTGTCAGATTTGAAGATAACAAGAAGTTGGAAAGGATTACTAACAGTATCTTGACAGGATAGAACTTTTGGCTGAGTACTATGAACTTTAACAGGGATAAATGTAAAGCCTTACACTTCAAAAATTCACAGTACAAGATAAGGGAGGCATGGCTAGACACCAGCTTATCTGGAAAAGATGTAGTGTTTGGGTGGACTACAAGGTTTTCTATGTTAGCAGCCTGAGGTGGCATGCTTAAGAAACTCATGCTATCTTAGGCTGTATTGTGACACATAAATAAAATAAAAAGTTCTCATAGCTGCACACCTGGAGAATTCATTCCCTTTTCAATCCAGTGGATCCCAAAGTATCATTGGAGACAGACATTTAGTGGGTTTTATTGAAGTCAGAAGCATGGAGAGCAAAATATCCTGGAGTACATAGTTCTGGGAACTGGATATTGGTCAGGAGAAAGGTTTAAGACCAAATTATGCAATTCAGCTGCCCAGATGAGATAACTAATGATGCATGCATGAAAGCATATGGAGGAAGACACATCTTTAAGACAACATTTATTAGAACTCAAGGCATTAATAGATAGTAGTGTCTTTAGGAGTTTAAAATAGTTCTACCAACTTTGTAAATTTGCAATCTCATTTCTCTTAAAGGAAATAGCATCTTTGTGCATTAAGTTAGATTATGGTTGGTTGGTTGTTGTCCTTTGTTCTTAAAGAGGACCAAAATGACATTACTACGTTAGAGTCAAGTCACAGTGTGTTGACGGTGGCTGATCAGACTGATAGGAGCTTGGAATGCTCTAACACAGGTTGGGCAGAAATAGTCCATGTGAACATTTGGAGTGGATTCTCTACTTTGTGCATCTCCTGTTTCTTTTGAGTTACTTCAGTTCTGCTTTGTTCATAGAGTACAGCAGCTTCTCTGATGAAGAACTGCCATACTGGGAGGTCCTGTACCAATGTCTCCCATGTCACACAATTCCAAAGTTCTTAAGAGAGACCTTGAGAGTGTCCTTGTATCCCTTTTTCTGACCACCATGTGAGTGCTTGCCCTGTGTGTGTTCTCCATAAAATAGTCTTTTTGGTAAGCACGCATTAGGCATTGAAACAACATGGCCAAACCATTGGAGTTGCTGTCTCTGCAGTAGAGTCTGAGTGCTTGTCAGTTTAATTTGAGAAAGGACCTCAGTGTCTGGTGTCTTGTCCTGTTGGGTGATCTTCAGGATCTTCCTAAGACAATTCAAATGGAAGCAATTTGGTGTCCTGGCATTGCACTGGTATACTGTCCAGGTTTCACAGGCATACAATAATGAGGGCACAGTGGTTCTGTAGCCCGTCTGTTTGGTAGTCAGTCTAATACCTATCCTCTCCCACACTTTCATTTGGAGCCTCCCAAACACTGAGCTAGCTCTGGCAACAGGTTTGTTAACCTCATTATAAGTGTGTACATCCCCCGAAAGTATACTGCCAAGGTAAGTGAACCTATTTACGGTATTCAAAATTTATCCATTTGCTGTAACCAGTGGTTCCATGTATGAATGGTATGGTGGTCGTGGCTAATGGAGCATCTATGTTTTCTTGGTGTTAATTATTAGGCCAGAATTAGCACATGCAGCAGAGAATTGATCCGTACTTTGTTGCATCTCAGCTTCGGAGGCTGCTTTGAGTGCACAATTATCTACAAACAAAAAAATCACTAACACTCCCTCCACTTTAGTCTTAGCTTTAGCCTTTTCAAGTTGAAGAATTTACCATCAGTGGGATAGCTGATCTTGATGCCGTGTTTGTCCTCATTGAAGGTGTTTGACAACACAGCTGAAAACATCATGCTAAAAAGCATGGGAGCAAACACACAGTCTTGTTTCACTCCATTGCTAACTGGGAAAGTATGAGAGCATCATCCATTATCCAGAACTCAGGCAAACATGCATCGTGAATTGACATGCAATACTGATTAACTTCTCAGGGCAACCACATTTTGACATAATTTTCCATAAGCCTTCATAACTGGCAGTATAGAGACCTAGGTCAGATTTACAAATGTGTACAGACCTCTGTTCTGCTTCTGGTATTTCTCCTGTTGGGCAACAAACACCATATCAACCATACCTCAGCCCTGTCTGAAGCCACTCTGGCTCTCAAGTAGATAATCATCTTCCAGGTAAAGGATCAGCTTATTAAGGAGGACTCTGGCAAGAATCTTGCCAGCAATAACTAAGAGAGAAACCTCCCCCTTGCCCCCCAATTGTCCCAGGACAATATATTTCCTCTACCTTTATAGAGATGGACATTGGAAGCATCCTTGAACTCTTGAGGGGATAATCTCCTTCTGCCATATAGCCTGGAAAATTTCAGTCAGCTTCTTTATGATCAATGAAACTACACCCTGCCCCTCCTTTTAAATCTCAGCAAGAATTGAATCAGCACCAGGTGCTTTGCCACATGAAAGGAGCCTAATGGCATTCAAAACCTCTTCTTCAGTTGGAACTTCAGCTAGGGAGGGATTGACTTCAACCTGAGGTAAATGGTTAGTGGTTTCAGTATTGATTGATAATGGTCTGTTGAGAACACCATGGAAGTGTTCAGCCCATCTCTCTAGGATCGTGTTCTTCTCACTAATCAATGTGGCACTATCAGCACTGAGTAGTAGTACCATGAATCTTTGGCCCATAAATGGCCTTCAGGGCATCATAAAAGCGCTTTGGGTTGTTACTATCAGCATAAAACTGAATTTCATCTGCCTTCTTTCTGAGCCAAGAATCCTGCATCTCACTAAGCTTTGCTTGTATTTTACTTTTGTTGGAAATAAATGCAGCCTTCTTAGAGATGGATGAACTATTCTGCTGGTAAACTCTGTGGAATGCTCATTTTTCATTTATCAACTTCTGAATTTCCCCATCATTTTAGTCAAACTAGTCTTGATGTTTGTGAGTGTTCTGACCCAGATGAGCAAATGCTAGCCAGTAGAGGTAAATACCACCTTAAAGGATCTCTCCCAAGATGGTATTTCCCATCAATTGATCAAAATTAAGTCAAGATTCCTTGAAAGATATAAACGACAGAACCTTGTTCAACAATCCATTGATCATAGATAGCAGGCAAGGTATAAAATGTGTATAGTTGTATGTAAATTAACTGGAACAAAGTAAAATAAATTTATGTAATATACCTTAAAACTTTTTACATCTTTAAAAATGTTTAGGATGCAGTATGACCTTTTACTTCATTCACTTGTTTTATGTGACTTTTTGTGGAGTTCATAACATTTTGACACACATTGTTTAATTCGTCATGTAACCTGTTTTATCATATTGGATACCTTTAATACTCTATTTTTCCAGATCTAGCCTTGGTTATAGTAAGCAGGTTTTCACGGGGGTGAAAATCTGGCAAGTTCTGAGACCATCATAACATCTTTTATCTCCATATTTTGAATAAATTTATTATTCATTTGTGATATGTAGTAAAGTTGTTTAACAGTAACATACATGTGAAAGAGGGCAATCCCTGCTATATCAAGGTCTTATGAGAGTGAGTTGAGGTGAAAAAGGGAATAGGATTATAGGCATTAGATGACTAGGGAGATGTGTTTCTGGCTTTCCTGACTCAGTGGTGGGGAATCTCCTCTTCTTACCAAACCTTAGGTTTACACTCTTGCTTAGGGGGAGGCAGATGGATGATGATACAGCAAAGGAGTTTGAAAAGGAGGGTAGGAGAACCAAGAGAGAACATTGTCATAGGAGCCAAGAGAAGAGAGACTGCTTAGGATGAGGTAGGGGCAATAGTGTATAGAGCTGATGAGAGGGCAGAGAGGATGAGGATGGAAGTTATAAAGAATTTTCCTGGATATCAGTCTAAAAATTGCTGTTGTTCTCCATTTTTTAGTTCTAGGTTTCCCTTTGGTTGCTAGGCAGACTCATTTTACCATTATTTTGTTTTTTTCATCAGTGAAATACAAATCTTTTATATTAAACACCTTTTATAAAGGTATCACTAAAAAGTCATATGATACATTCTAAAGCCAAATAAAAATGATTACTTTTTTTGTAGTGCTCATTCACTCTTATTCCATCATCTTCAATATCAACGCACTATGTTGTGTTGTGACTTCTCAGTTGTGATATCCACAGATATAACCAGAAACTGTTTTGGGTTATACATCTTAAAAGTTCTTTGAGATAGTGAAAAAGCTTACAGGATGGTAAAGTGTAAATCCCTCATTGTCTGCACCACTGGGGACAGTGTCCATGTCATTAATATTATGGATCTTTCAGTGGAATACTTCAGTGTAGTCAACAATTTGGTTTAGTTACAAGGAGTTAGGGCAGAGTAAATAATCTTAAAATTTTCTATTCTTAGGTATACTTCAGTCACTATCTATCCCTGGAACTTACCAAGAAAAGATTACTCATCTAGGAAATTCTTTGAGGAATTTAACTTCTTTAAAGTGTCTAGATCTCTCACGCAATTCATTGGTTTGTCTAGAGGTAAATTTTTGGTTTGCTTTCATTTTAAAGAAACTTTATTACTATTCAGATTAAAGTAGCAGAAAACAATATTGGCTAAAAACATAATTTCCTTTACAAATAAATAAAATATATTCCCTGTATTTATTTTGTACTGTATTTCTGTCTTAAATACTGAAATAATATTCTCTGTTTTGGAGTAACAAAACTGGAGTTCTCATTAATTGAGATCATATGTCTTAAAGAAAAGGTCTTAGATGAAAAAATGAATAATTTTACTTTTATTGTATACAAGATTAAAATATTAAGAAACATATCCCTAATTTTATATTCATAAGAAGATTCATAGAAATATTTAAACATACATTAAAAACAAGATGACTGCTTTTAAAAATGAGGACTGTGATACTGAATTTCCTAGTATCATATTATTGTATCAAAGCCCTTTCTTGGATATTCACCGTAATGACAAAGATAACGTTTTGTCTTTAATCCCATTCTGGCAATGGCTTTCTGTTTCTGTAGGTGTGGTTTTTATTTTTATGTGGAAGTCTTTGTTAGTGATCTTTTACTTATTTACAACTTACAAATGTCTTTATTGGAGTACTTTTAAAGAGTATGAACTGATTTTGCTTTCTTTTTTTTCTGTTAACAGGGTATTGAATACTTAACATTATTAGAAAATCTCAATCTCTACTACAATAATATTTCCTCGCTAACAGAAGTATTTCGGCTTCATCAGTTAACTGAACTAAAAGATGTGGATTTGCGACTGAATCCTGTAGCTAAGAATGAGCCTGATTATCGTCTTTTTCTTGTGTATATAATTCCAAGACTTAGACAGTTAGGTAGGAGAAACAATATTCATCAAAGACTTAGTTTTTTTTTCTAAATGATTATACTGTATAAAAATGGAATAATAATGTTTTATTTTTTATATGAAGGTGATGGTACTAATAAATTCAGATGTGTATATTTTTTTTCAGTTGTAGTAACGAATTCACTTTTATCTCCCTATTTGGACCATTGTATTCATCCATGTTTCTTTATGGCATGGATATGTAAGAATGGACATCAGACTGAACTATATGGAGAGTGGTCCCATGACCTTGGCCTTGATTTGGTAGTAGTGAGTAAAACTCACTTTTTGAATTGTTTAACAAAAGTAATTTAAATATTTTAGTAATTAATTCATTCACATAGTACTTAGTAAAACCCTGGTAGATCAAAATTTTCTTTTTTTCCCCATACTTAGAAGAAGTAATAACTAACAAAATTCTTTAAAGTATATAATGTACTTTTCTCACAGTTACCTTGTGCAGAATGTATGAGTAGACTGGTGAAATTCAAGAAGAGAAGAGACAGTTGTTTTCTTTTTTTGAACTAAAATATTTCAAAATAAATGAAAATATATTGCTTTATTTATAGTACGTGCTATATGAGATTTTCTGTAAGAAAAACCTTAATTAGCATTTAATTAAAAAATGGAATTGACCATAGGCCTTAAAAGTCATCCCTATCTGCTATAGAAATTGCTATTAAAAAAAAAGATTGCTATAGAAGTATGAGTCAGAAAGATAAGATGTAACCTTTTTGGCCTAGTTTTCCCACTTAAAATAAGGAAAGTGATGCTATGTTACTCACAATATTGGGAAGGGTCAAAATGCTTGCAAAAGATTTTGATATTTGTTATATTAGTTAGACCTAGGTTTGTTCTACATAGGTTCCATCATAACAGATATCAACCCATTTCTTTAGCAAAAGTGAGAGGGTGCACTAGATACCTGGAGACTTGGTTTCTCAAAATCTCAATTTTATTCCTACTACTTCCACGTTCCATAAATTAGACTTGAATAAAGTTATCCACATTGTTAGTATTCCAGATCTTTAAAAGAACTGTTGAACTTCTCCTCAACTCTTGGATATAATTTATCATTCCAGATGGGGTATGGTGGCTGGAATTAGGATGAATCCCTTATTTCCTCTCAGTAGTCATCTTTTAAAGCCCTACCCAGCTAGACTTTAATCTATCTCTCCAGCGTCATTAGACATTACTCCCCTTTCTCCTCTCTTACTCTCTGTGATCCAGTCAAACTGGCCTCTCAGTTTTTTATACATGCCATTACATCTTCTGTCTCAGTGCCTTTGCACTGGCTGTCCCACATGCCTGAAATGCGTTCCTTCCTTACCTCCACCTTATAGAGGAGGGCTGGGGAACCTACGACCTCGAGGCCAGATGTGGCCTTTAGGTCTTCAAGTGCAGCCCTTTGACTGGATCCAAACTTCACAGAACAAATCCTCTTAATAAAAGGACTTGTTTTGTAAAACTTGGACTTGGTCAAAAAGTTACACCCAAGGACCTAGAAGGCCACATGTGGCCTCGAGGTCACAGACTCCCCACCCTGGTAGAGCTCCTCTTTTTCCCTAAGTGTAGCTCAGGCTTATTCATGAAGCCTTTCTTGATCCCTTCAACAGTGCCCTCCCTACCAAACTACCTTTTATAGAACAATTTTGGATATATTTGTTTTTATTAACTTTATAATTTGATTGTGTGGATTTTTCTCCCCCAGATAATCGTTTAGTGAGAGAGAGTGAACGAAAAGCATCTCTTTCACATTTTTCTATGGAAGAAACATTTGAATCAAAACAGATTTCTTCAAATTCTTTGAAAAACAAAGCAGAAAGGTATGAACAGAAATAATATTTGAATATTCAGAAAATTAAGTTTGGAAACATCAGAAAAATTTAGACCCAAGTTAAAAATGTTAAATGAGTACATAATATTTTTTTAAAATTATATTTATTTTTTCATATTCATTTTCCTATTTTGCTATCCAGATTTTCCCTCCAACTCCTTTCTTACTCATTGAGAAGGCAAACAATGTGATACTCATTTATGTGTGTGTATACACGTATGCATGTACTTATATATATGAAGTCATGCAAAACATTTCCTTATTAGCCATGTTCATAAAAATCAAGAAAGAGAAAGGTAAAAAATATGCTTCAATTTGCTGAATATATATTCTTTATGAAGGCTTCCCAAAAGATATTGGCATCTCAAATAATTTTTTCCTTAATTCATGGAATGACATTAGAAAGTCCAAATTATAGAATGATTAAAGGTCAATTGTTATTTTAAAGTAGTATTTTTTAACTATCACTGAGTAGAAGTAATTTGTTGCTACTGGACTTTATATACCTTTATGGCATTGCAAAATGCTGTCTGATTTACAAGGGTTGGGCCCTTGCTAAAAGTCCACATGAAAGATATCTTCCACCATTGTTCTATATCTATTGATGTAGACTACAATAATAGAATTTTAGGCTGTATTAACAGTACAGCACACTGTCTTTAAAATACTTTATTAAGCTTTGGATAAATTTTTAACTATGTCACAACTAAATTTTCAAATAAAAAGTTAAAAGAATCCACAAACTACACTAATTATAGAAGATAATTTTCTTCTGTGTCCCTTCCTGAGTTTCTGTGTTTTGAAAAATGTTGCAGTTATTATTTTTATATAGTTGGTCATGTGTACGTATATGTTTTAATTCTTCACTATGCATCAATTAATAATAAATTTTTTCCATAGTTATTTCCATAGTTGCCATAGTTTTCCATATTTATATATAATATATTTATATACATATATATATTTTAGATTTGTCATTTCTTTTGCCTTAGTAGTAGCCAATTTGTTTTCATAAGCTGTTTGTCATTTTCAGTTGTTAGATATGTGAATTATTTCCAGTCTTTTATTATTATGAATAACTATGGATGTTTACACCAGTAAGTTTTCATTTCCTTTCAGTAACACCCTCATTTATCCTAGTTGTATGTGATCATTAGGTCAAAGAATATGAATAGTTTTATAACTGTTATTGTATCACTCAATTCAGTAAGCATTTATTAAATACCTACCATGTGCCAGGCACCATGCTAGGACTGTGGATGCTAATACAAAAAGTGAAACAAATTTCTACTTCTAGGGAATTTTCATTTTATAATTTTATTTTGTTGTATTTTTCAAAAATACAGTACTATATCACAACTTCAATATCCGTATCTTTTTTTTAAAGCTAGCTGCCAATTTAAAAGTTATAAGATAATATCTCAGAGTTGTATTTTAATACTAAAGTAATAATTCTTTTGTACTTTGTGTTGGTTAGACAGTATACCTAGATTATTTGTTAAATTCCAGTCGTCACACTTTGGGGGACACAGACAAATGAGAGTATGTGCAGAAATAATGAAGAGAGGGCACCATTTTATATAAAGACTGATTGAAGGAACTAAGGATGCTTATTCTTGGGAATAGAGGACTAAAAGGAGAAATGATGGCTGCTTTCAAATATTTGAAAGGCTCTCATGTTCAATAAACCGTTATTAAGTGCCTGACACATACTAGGTGTTGGCAATACAACACAAAAATGACAAAAGTAGATTGCCTCAATCTACTTTTAGGACTAATAGAGAAATGACAAAGAGGCTCTAATTTTAGCTCAATATAAGGATTAATGAAACAAGATGCTTATGAAGGAGTGCCCAATTACTACCACATTAAACAGAGGCCATAGCTCAGGGATTAAAAACTAGAATAGACCGGTAAGGTAAATTCTGACTGTAATTTTGTGTTTCTGGGTTGAGATGGGAATCTGTGATGAATGCTTTTTCCACTTAGGGAGAATTCCAATATATAGAGGAATCTAAACAATGGTTTTGGGATTGTTTTTATTGTAGTAGTATCCCTTAGCAGGAAACGTAATAACCCTATTTATCAGAATGGTTAAGGAATAATCAGATTAATTCTCAGTAATATTTTCTTTATATTCTGTGCACAGATTTCCAGTCTCCAAAATAGAATACAGTAAAATACTGCTAAAACTAAAACTGTGCTGAGTGTATTTACTTTTTGATGAATTAGAAGGAATGTCATGGTCATTGTTATGAACATTTATTATCCTTTTGCTGTAGGTTATGTAGCCAAGTTGATTATTAAAGATTTTCGGTAGATAAGGTTAAAACCAAATTATTATTAGCTTACTCAGCTTTTTCCTATACTTAGAAATCACTAAATGAATTGTCAGTCATTGAATTTAAATCTGGGAGAGACATTGGCAATCATCTTTTACAGTAGAAGACAGTCTGGCCCAAAGAATCAAAGTGACTTGGCTAAGCTGGGACTAGAAACAAGCAATGTTTTAAACACTAGTAATGATAACAATAGTAATAAAAATAATAATAAACCTTCTGGTAGTGGCGGAGTGAGTGGCTCCTTCTTAGCAAAACTGCTACCATTTCACAAGACGAAATGTGCTTATATAATCATTAAAATTACAATAAAAATAGCATGTAATAAGTAATAAGAAAAGATGGGAAATATCACCTCCCAAGGTAAATACCATGTACAGTTTCATTGTACTTCACAATGAAATAATAGAGGAGGGCCACAAGAATGGTCTCTTCCTCCATAGCCAGTGTGACCAACTGATGACAGCTTTGGCTGGAGTAGCTTTTCCTGTCCTCTCTTGACAGTCTTACTCCACAGCCCACCTTAACGAGGGAGAACTTTGAATTTGCCCAGCCTTGTGATAGGGAAATCAAGCAACTAGAGCTTAAGATGGGATGAAGTAGGGAATACACATCATTAACATGTCAGCAAGAGAGGCTCCCCCAAGGAAAAGAGAGAGCATAACCCCACTGTAGTCACCTCTTCATAGTTTACACTTGGTAAGGATGTAGTCAGATATTCTCCCTCACAAAAAACTTGAGGAGGTAATTGAGGACTTCCTTTCCAAGGGAGTCTTCTGTAGTCAGAACAGAAGAAAACTAGTGGCATTTTGTGAGGAGGAACCAAAACAGTGAGGAACAATGTTACCTGGAACTGCGGAGGAGTGGCCAGGAAGGCCAAGAGAGAAAAGTTGGCTATGAGTCAACCCCCCAGGGAGAAAAATTAGCAATGAGAATTATGGAGAAAGAAGGAACAATGAGCAAAAAATCCAGAAAGTTAGAACACAGTGAATAAATATGTTGCTATAAAAGGAAGTGGCCTAAAAATCACCATTGAGACAATAAATGCCACAGGACCCCCAGAAAAAAAAATGGAATTATAACAACAAAGAATCTCAGAATGCCTTAAAAGAGGAGAAATAAGAGTGGGACTTCGGGAAGAATTTACAATGGAAATCAAACTCAAAAAAGAAGTCAGTTAGAAAAACTAGAATAAACAATTAGAACACGTAATGAAGAACTTTAAAATAGAAGCTCCAAAAAAGTGAATGGCAGATATGGAACTCAGAAATACAGGGTAAAATAAAATTTGCAACTAAACTAAATTATATGACAACATAGTAAGAACATTATTTCTTTAGAAGGTAAAATGACCTAAAAAATGAATATAATTTAAAAGTATTAGCTCTCAGAAAGTCATGGTGAATTTAAGACCTAAATACAAGAAAATTGCCCAGTGGCAATGAAAACAGAGCATAAGTTGCAGTGTTTAAATTCACAGATCATTTACTGAGAGAAACTCCTAAATCACAAAGAAATGTAATGGGTAACCTCAAGAATTTTATTATCAAACCATAACAAGCAAAGAGAGGCATTCAGCTATCATATACAAATTTTAGTAACTTAGAACCATTCCTTGCCCATAAGAAATCAAATAAAAAAGAGTATCATTGCTCCCTAAAACAGCGCATCCTGCACAACCAAACCTAATCATGAATGACAAAGTGTGTACTTTAAACAAAAAGAAGGAATCTGAGTCATTCCTTTAAAAGAAATAAGAGGTGAGGACAATATTTAACATGTAAACACTTAAAAATGAGGGAATAGCTACTGTTAACAAAAAGTTTGTGGTGAAATAATGCCTTTATGCATCTTGGTCGAGATGAGGCTATTTAAACAAACAAAAACCCTTTAACTTTAGGTTGAGGTTAAACAGCAGATATCTAGGGACAAAAATTCCTGAGGAGTTGAGGGCAGGGAAAAACAATCAAATTAATATTATATGGACTAAAAACCCACTTTTCCTCATAAGCAAATCAATATTGTAGAGGGCATAGGGGCACAGAGAGGGGTTCCTACCTTGCATTGCTTAGACAGGAGAAGTGAAGTGTTCTTGGTCCCTTAAAATGCCTCTACGGATACAGGAGAGTAAGGGAAAGCAGTGTATGTGGACAAGAATGTAGTGGGGAAAAAGAAGCTGGGTCCTTCACTAGGAGGGATAATTATAGGGGATCATTGAGATATCCTTGCAAGAAAGTTGAGGAGATGAAGTGGTAGAGTCCCTGTTTTGAGTTTCAGAAGGAGTGCTTAAGTATTAGGCTTCTTAGAATCATATTCCTTCCTGGGAGAAGGGAAAGAGAGGAACAAATGGGATAGGCAATCATATTAATAAACTGTACGGGAAGTGAACAAAGTTTTTGTCTCTCAGAAAAACTACTTTGTATGAAGGACATAGAGGGAATAAACAAAACATAAGCATAAAGTATATGAATAGTAGATTAAATTTCAGAATAGTCTAGAAAGAAAAGGAAATAAGGATAGGGGAAAACTAAATTAATGTTTCTTGGGAAAAGGTGCCTTAAATTACTTTAATTTAATTTAAGTACATTACTCAAGTTAGTAGAATGGATAGGAATGCGATAGGGTAGATCCTGAACCAAACTCTTATTTGGGCTGGAGAACGGAAGGGAAAAATGGTGGAAAAGAATAATAATTAAACTCATAGAACTTAGGGTAGAGCGTAGTAGCAGGAGATGAGAGAAACTGGGAAGAAATAGAGGTTAATTTTGTGTAAGCAAAACTGATCAAACTAATCCAGTTTAATAAAGGTGGAGGGGGAAAAATCAATGCAAAAGAATTAGTGGGAGGGAAACACAAGTCTAGTAAATATAACTTTTATTTTTTTTGGTGAGGCAATTGGGGTTAAGTGACTTGCCCAGGGTCACACAGCTAGTTAAGTATCAAGTGTCTGAGGCCAGATTTGAACTCAGGTCCTCCTGACTCCAAGGCTGGAGCTCTATCCACTGTGCCACCTAGCTGCCCTGTAAATATAACTTTAAGTGTGAATTAACCTCTTTTAAAACAAAAGAAAATGGCAGAATGGATTTTTTTTTAAAGAATCTCTTATGTACATGAAACACATGAAAACAAAGATATATTTAGAATGACATTGAGGGGTTGAAACAAAATTTACTATGCACGAGGTCTTAACTTCTGACTCAGTTTCTTTATCTGTAAAATGGGAATAAAGATAACATCTACCTTACAGGGTTGTTGTGAAGATCAAATGAGATCAAATGTGTAAAGTGCTTTGTGAACCTTAAAGAGCTTTATAAATGGTAGCATTAAGTGAGTACAAAAAGCAGGTGGTGTCATGATTTCAGTCAGATGATGTCAAGAGAAAAAAACAGGGAAACTTCATATTTAAAGGCACCACAGAGAGTGAAACGATTCATAAATACACACACACATTCATTTGCACAAAATAATGCAGTGTCTAAATTTTTAAAGGAAAAACCAAATTACAAAGACAGATTCTAGCACAGTAATTATAGAAGCATTTAATGTTCCTCTTTTAGAACTAGGTAAATCTAACAGAAATGAACAAAAATGGAAAACAAACATTTGTAAAACTATATTCAAAAGATTTATGGTATCATCTGGGTGGGAATAGCAAAGAATGTAAATGTTTCTCAGAATTACAAGGTACCTTTACAAAAATTGGTCACGTATTAGGTTACAAAGAAATACATAAATGTAAAAAAAAGCACATACTACTCTTTTACAGATCATACTAAAATTAAAATACTGATTAATACGGGGAACATAAGATACATAACTAAATAAAGACTAATGACATCTTGAATAATGAATGCATCAAGGAATGAATTATAGAAATAACGAATAACATTGAAGAAAATGATGATGAGCCAACATTCTAAGATGCAGCAAAAGTCTGTAGAGACAAAGCTACCTCTGAAAACATTAACAATATAAAAAGAGAATTAGTAATATGATTGTTCAATTTTGAAACTTAGATTAACTTAAAAAGAAGTACAAAGATCAAATCTAGAAATTAAAAAAATACATAAAATTGAAAATTAAAAGATTTGAAATGATAAAACTAAGAGCTGCTTTTTAAAGACCTAACAAAATTGATAGACCTTTAGTAAATTCAACTAAAAAAAAGGATGGAGGGGAAAAGCAAAGTGCTCAAATAAAAATATACAAAAATTTACGTGTGTGTGTGTGTATGTACACATATATATGTATATACACACACACATACATACAAATATATAATAGAAAAAAAAGAATTACCAGAAGCACTCTAATAAACTCCTTTTTGTAAGACAAATGTGATGCCGATACACACGATTAGTATCTACAAAAATATAAAGTACTCAAAATAACAAAATGAGAAATGAAATCTTAACCCAATTTGGAAAAAGACCAAAAAACCAAAACCCATACTCCTAGTCCAGGTTAATTAGTCCAAATCTTTAAAGAGCAAGTAATATCAAAGCTACAAAATTACTCTTAAATTGGAGAAAAAGTCGCTATACTAGACGCCTTTTTATAAGACAAATATGCTGATACACAAACCAGCGAGGCATAAGGCAAAGAAACAAAATTATAGACAATTTTGACTAATGAATGTCAATGCAAAAATATTTTAAATGAAATCTTTGCAAAAAGACTATGGTAATATAGCAAACAGTTTTTTACCATCACCAGGTTAGATTTTTAACAGAGATGCAAAGATGTTGCAACATTAGCAAAGCAATTAATGTAATTGTATATTCAAATTTCTCAAATACTTCTGATCACATTAAAGAAGGTTCCTTCTATGCCTATGTATTTTATCATTTTAAAAATAAACTGCTGTATTTTGTCAAAGGCTTTTTCTGTGTCTACGGAGACATAGACACATAAATACACCCCCCCCAATATATCCTTGTGTGTGTATGTGTATTAAAAAATACATGTATATGTATAAAATTTTTTATTGCTTTTTTGCTGTTTATATGATTATTTGTTTTTTGTTTTTTGGCTAGGCAATGGGGTTAAGTGACTTGCCCAGGGTCACACAGCTAGAAAGTGTTATGTGTCTGAGGCCAGATTTCAACTCAGGTCCTCCTGAATCCAGTGCCGTTGCTCTATCTACTGCTCCACCTAGCTTCCCCCTACATGATTATTTGAACTGCGTAGCTTTCACCAAGAGGGAAGTGATGGTCTCATTGTACTCAGTCGTTGTCAGACCTCCCTCTTTTGGAGTATTGTGTTCAATCGTGTTCAGTTCTGGGCACTACTATTTAAGGATATTCATAAGCTATAAAGTGTCAGAGAAGGGCTAACAGAATGCTGAAGAGCCTTTTGTTCATAACGTGAGGATTAGTAGAATGAACTAGGAAGGTTTCGTCTGGAGAAGAGAAGTCTCACAGGGACATGTTAACTGACTTCAAATGGAGGAAGCACTAAACTTGTTTCATTTAGCCCGAGAGGGCAGACCCAGGAATGATGGGTAGAAGGTGCAAGAGGCCAGTTTGGGCTTAACATTAGGAATTAGAGTTGTCCAGAAATGAAATAACCAGCTTTCAGATGCAGGAGGTTACCTCTTAGAGGTCTTCAAACAGACTGGTTAATTATTTGTAAGTTATATTGAAGTGGGAATTTCTTTTGTGAATGGATTATGTTAGATGACTGCTGAGATACCTTCTCTCAAATTTTGCAATTCTATGAAAGCCACCAAAGTTATGAGTATTTTTAATGAAGTAATTTTTTAAAAAAGCATCAGGAAACCAGAAAAAGAAAAATTCTTTTGCCGCAGAATGCATGAAGTGTTTGAGTACCATGTTTACCAAGATACTTTCATGAGAAATATTAAATATAAACAAATGTTAAATATATACAAAACATTGTACAGTATATAAAAATAATGGAAGATTGAAACAATTGGAAAGATATTATTGGTTCACTGTTGGGTAGAGCCAATATAATAAAAATAGTGATATTGCCTAAATTTATTTACATATTTGATGCTATGCCCATCAAACTGCCAAGGCATTATTTTTGTAAAAAACAAAGTAACAAAATTCATTTGATTACAGGGTTTAATAATGCTAGGAGTAATAACATTTATATAGCACTGTAATGTTTGGAAAGTGTTTTACATGTGTTGTCTCATTTGATCCTTACCATAACTCTGTAAGGTGGATGCTGTTATTATCTTTATTCGTATCAGAAGTTTCTTTAATGATGGAATGTAGTACATTTAAAATATCCTAGAAGGCAGGGATGATTATGTCTTTTGGCATTGTCCTGTCTAATACTTTGTAGGTACTTTTGTTTGGTTTAAAGTTCATACAGTTGGCGTCTTGGTATAGTATAAGTAGTACTGAACTTGGAATCAGGATGAACCCTGGCTTCAACTGAGTGACCATGGGCTGAATATTTCCTTTTCTGTAAAATAGGAATAATAATACTACAAAAGAGTGCTTTGAGGAGAGTGTTTTATAAGCTGTCAGCTTCATTTTGTGTGAGCTTAGTGTAAATCAAATTCCTACACTTGTAATGTCTTTACATTTTCCTGTGCTTAAGAATAACCAAATAAATAACCATAGAATTTAGAAGATAACTTGGAGAGACCATATAATCTAATCTTCTCCTTTACCAATGAAACTGAGTCAATTATGCAAAGAGAAAGTTTTTCAAATTAATACTAGATAATAGCAGTAGTAATACAAATCCTATTTATTTTTAACAATGTTTTTAAAATTTTGAGCTCCAAATTCTCTCCCTCTCTTTAGCCCCTCCCCCACCTAGTAAGAAAATGAGCAATATGATATTAATTATACATACTTGTTTGTCTATTTATTTGTTTAAAAATCCTACCTAGCCAGTATCTTTATACTATAGAACAGTGGTGTCAAACTCAAATAGAAAACAGAGCCGCTAAGCCCTGCATAAGGATCCCTGCAGCTACATAGTGACTTAGAAAACCTCACAATAACATTTGCATTATATTGTACTTTTTATTTATTTTGTTAAATATTTCCCAATTACATTTTAATCTGGTTTGAACCTAACTCCAGGGGGTTGCAGCAGGTATTTGATACCACCGCTGTAGAGAATAGTGCTGATTGTTGTTGTCATTGTTCAGTTGTTTCATTTGTGTCTGACTCTTTATGACCACGTTTGGGGTTTTCTTGGACAAGATACTACAGTGATTTGCCATTTCCTTCTCCCACTCATTTTACAGAGGAAGAACTGAGGCAAACAGGGTGAAGTGACTTGCCTAGGGTCACACAGCTAGTAAGTGTCTTGAGACCAGATTTGAACTCAGGAAGATGAGTCTTCCTAAGTCCAGGTGCAGTGTACCGTCTAGCAGCCCCAATAGTGCTGATATAAAATTATAATGAACAATTTTGCTTTCTTTGGTAGAGATCGACATTGCAGAACAAAGTACATTGACTCCCTAACAAAGAAGTGTTCAGTCATGGATGCAGAAGACGAAGCTGTTCTAAATCTAATTGCTAAATGTGAATTGGATTTAAGTAAGCCTCCTGGGATTACAAGTGCTAGTAAAAAAGACTGTGCTGTACCTGAATTTCATAATTTGCAAGGTATTTTACAGTGACTAATGCTTATTAAATGTTGGTTGTGGTCTGTGTCACACATACTGTCTAATTGGCAATTTTTTTTTTCTAACAACATGGCTTTGTAGAAAGATCCCTGCGTTTCGGGAGACTTAGGTTTGAATCCTGACTGCTGGGCTGGGCTTCAGGTTTCTCATCTATAAAATACGGGAGTTGGACTAGATGACCGTTAAGGGCCCTGAGTCCTGTGATCTATATTTTGGCCTTTTTAGAAAATTGGCTTGCTTATGCAGGGTATCCTAAAGTTTTTATGAAGTTTTGAATTTTAATAATTTAGATTTTAGATATGACAAAAAGAAACAGCAAATGGTATTTAAAAGAAAATTTATCACCATTTAGGACAAATGCATAGTTCTGCAGTTGTATACTTATTTCAGAGCGGACAAAAGTTTTAAAAAATGTCTTCCTCAAACAAGACCCTGTAGGTTAAGGTTTATATTATTTTTCATCTATGTTCCCTTAGTGACTAGCACAATGCTTAATAAATGTTTCTTGAATTTGATTGAGAAGGTAAACTATGTTGTATAACTAGCAGAATTTAAGTCCTTTTCAACTATGAGGAGAAAATTCTGTTTGCCTTTAAATGTAGTTTATAGAACATTTCCATATCTGTAGTTTACTATGCCGTAAAATTTTCACAACGTCTTCATGAAGGTTTTGTATATTTGCATAGAGCTGTGATTTCAGTGTTACGAGGAACTTCTTTAAGGATACTCCCCCTGCTAATTCAGGTTGGCACATTGTCTGAAGAAGCATTAGACTCTCCTGAGTGTCTCTGGAACCAGATTAAAATGTAATTGGGAAATAATTAACTAGATAAATAAAACTACAGTAAAGCAGATGTTAATATGTATTTTTTTAAAGTCAGTATGCCCCTGCAGAGATCCTTATCTAAGTTTTAGTAGCCCCCATTTCTCTCTGTTCGACACATCAGCCTTGTTAGAGAATTGCCTGGAATACTGAGAGGTTGGGTGACTTGCCCAGGCTTAACACAACTAGTTTGTGTCAGTGACAGAACTTGAACTCAGGTCTTCCTGACTTTCTACTTCTACTCCATGCTGACATTTGTATACCTTGTTTGTGTGTTTATGCATATGTGTATATTAATTTGTCATTACATTTCTTATTATTTTATGAATGTATATAAAGCTTTATGAAATCTTACTCATAGAGCAGACACATTTTCATTATCAATTTCTAAAAATTTTTCATTAAAAAACAGAAACAAAACAAAATCTGGCTAGCTAGGCAGCTGCTTGATTTTTGATTTTGGGCTAGAATCCTAGAATTACCTTTATCAACATGACATAATCTCTCTTTAAGAATAGCTTTCTTTGGGACTTTTGCTCGTGGTTTCCCTGAGGCACGCCGTGCCCAGTGCTCTCATTGTGCGCTCCCGCCATCACGTACGGCGGCGAGGGCCAGAAGGTGCAGAAGGTGATGGTGCAGCCCATCAGCCTCATCTTCAGGTATCTCCAAAATCGGTCCCGAATTCAGGTGTGGCTATGTGAGCAAGTAAATATGCGAATAGAGGGCTGCATAATTGGTTTTGATGAGTATCTGAATCTTGTATTGGATGATGCAGAGGAGATTCACTCTAAAACAAAGTCAAGGAAACAACTTGGTCGGATCATGGTAAAAGAAGACAAAGTGTCTCTAACTAGAAGTATATGGTCAGTGAAGTTAGAAGACACTCAGAAGGCAATGCTTTTTTTTCTTAGTTATGTTCTTTGGGCTTCAAAAGCCAGCTACACATTTTTCCATGTTATTTTAATCTTTCTTTTATGATATTATAACAATAAATGGGTTGCTCTGGGGTTTGTTTCTATTAAAAAATTCTGCATTGAAAAAAAAAGAAAAAGAATAGCCTTCTTTGGGGCAGCTAAGTGGCACAGTGGATAGAGCACCAGCCCTGGGGCCAGGAGGACCTGAGTTCAAATCCGGCCTCAGACCCGTAGCACTTACTAGCTGTGTGCCTCTGGGCAAGTCACTTAACTCCAATTGCCTCACCA